ATTTTTTCTACTAAAATTGTTTTATTTTGCCAGATGTTAACTGCTTAAAATTTGGTAAGAAATGTCCATAGTTAGAATATTAAAAGTTATCTTACACATTTCCAGATTGCTTTGAATATTATGAACACTTATCATATTTATAAGCTGACTCAATTAACTACTTAAGTTCTTAAGTAAAGTAATATTCTGGACATCAAGATAATCCACCATAAATAAATTTTAAAAATGGATGTTACATTCATATTTGGTTTAGTTTTTGCACTCTCACAATTTCTTCAAGTGGCATTCTGAGAAACCTAATACCAAATGTAGAACATAGTCTTCTCACCATTCTCTAATTTAAATAACATTATTTAAATTACATCGACTTTACAGAATACTTGAAAACTTACCTGCAGCCTAATAAAATTTACTAGCTTAATGTACCCATAGAAATCAAGCCCTGAAAGAAGCAGAACAATAAAAATGTTTATCAGAATCATAATCTGTTTACTCTCTTATATTTTTATACTTCCTCCCATTATTTTATTTCTGTACTGATTTCTTTGTCAAGTACAACTATAAGTTAGCTATACTAATTGGAAAAGTTGACTTTATCTCAAAAACTAACAAAGCTTATTTATTAATGTAATTGACTTATGCTACTTATAAAATCTGAATGCCATTTCAATCACAAATTTTAAGCAGTTAACATCTGGCAAAATAAAACAATTTTAGTAGAAAAAATGATAACTACTGGACCAGCAATTGATGTACATTTGTGTGCACTGTGTACAAACCCCTTTGAGTCAATGTTGATTCCTGATAACTATTTTGAGCTAACCACTGCAGATTTTTAGAAACAGCTTAACATTGGCTTCTTCAAGGGCTGAGAGTGACTAGCAAAGTCACGAGGCTAGCATTGTGCCTAAGGCAGAACTAAAAATCACATTTTCTAGCTTGCTGGATTAAAATCTACACCAAACTGGCTCCCAATTGATTATTAATATTTAAAAGTTAACAATAGATAATTCATAAATGTTGGATAAGGTAACCAACATTACAAGACATTACAATAGCACATTTCCCAAAGGTTCTGGAAATAACACTATTTAAGGCAGTCATCCTAACTCTGCAAGGAGGGAGCAGAGTATTGTAGACTGTGGGATCCCATCCCAGGAAGGACTTGTGACTTTACCTATATTCTGAAAGTTGGGGAATGTGACATATGCCCTCTTCTGGAATATATGAGAGAGGTCATTGGACTTTAATGTTTAATCTCTTTATGTTTTCAATTTGCCAATTTTTTGGTTAAGCAAAACTTATTGTAATCTTTTCCATTTAACACAATTTCTCATATTGGTCATAGTTAATTATTGCCTGCCTTGTTTTTAACAGATTTATTTTAATGTTCTTAAAACTTTAAATTGATACAATCAATTTTAATATCCAGAAAATAAATGTTGAAATGTCTAAGTTAATTTTACAATACTTGTAAAGATTTATTTGGTGTTTTTTTTNGCCTTCCATCCTTCCGAGGTGGGTGAAATGAGGACCCAGACTGTGGGGGCGATATGCTGACTCTGTAAACCGCTTAGAGAGGACTGAAAGCCCTATGAAGCGGTATATAAGTCTAACTGCTATTGCTATTGCTATTCCTCCTCTGGATTGAGGTATCTTCTGCACAGCAATTGTTGTCCAGTTTTTCCTTCCATCTTCCAAGAGTATTCCAACGTATTATTACAACACAACATATAAAGTCAGGAGTGAGTATAATGTGAACTTTCTTTACTTACTTTTGCTTAGTACAAACAAAGTAGTACAGTAGTACAATACTTTACCAACAATCAATCAATCAATTAATCTTATAATTGTTCTAAAATATCCAGGGTGGATAAAAATCAATGATTTTTTTAAATAAAAAAATTTTTTTTTATTTTAAATTGGATTTTTTTTAAATCAAATTTATTTTAATAAAATGCTTTTGGAGTAAAAATCTATCTAAAGGTAGTTTTCTATTTAAGATACTTTAATAATTTAGTTTATTCAGCATGAAATGGAGCTTAGTTATGCAGCATGAGGCTCTATATTCTGCAATATTTATATTTTTGGTAAACTCATTCAATGAATCCAAGTTCTGCAAGCTAAATAGGAAACCTTCATTTTGTTTGCAAATAATATTAAAGATTCTAACTACCAGCAAGAATGAGTCCTTACATTTAAAGGCCTATTATTTCAGATTCACCATGGCAGGGCCTGTTAGCGGGCATCCACTCACTTGCTGCCCACCATGTCCCTCACCTTGTTGCTTCACTGCCACCTCACCCATTAAAGTTGAATGGGAATGTCAGTGAGTCAACAGCTGGTCAGAGGAGGAGCTGCTGCGGGACAGAGACAGTTGCTCTTTAAAAATTATGATTTAAATCAAGTTATTTAAATCAAGCATTTTTACTAGTGATTTCAATCATGGTTTAAATTGTGATTTAAATCAAGTCCATCCTGAAAATATCTAAAAGGATTAGAATAAATACTATACCATATTGCATAAACTAGAGAACAGTCAAGGAAATAAAATCAGACTGATCCAATAACAACATCTTAAGATAAAATAGATCAGAATGATCAGGATATTTAGTAAAGCTTTTAGTAAAAATTCCTGGCGGGCACCTGCATAGAAAGGGCAACACAGAATAACATGTTTCATTATTTCAATTATTATTCCACCACATGAACATATTCTTTGTTCAAAGTCGGATCTTTTCATATTGTCATGCCTGGAAGCATCTTTTACATTGGAGGTGTTACTTGGAACTCTGATACATATCTTGCTTCAGCAATGGCCTTTGGAAGGGCATTGAATCTGGCTAGGGATAAGGCCCTTCTGAATGTTCGGATCATTATGCAGTTAAGATATATAGCCGGATAGATAGGGCCATCGTAACAGCATTATGGGCCCTACGCAAAGCAGTGTATTGGGACCCCTATGACAACTATTCAAACTAAAAACGTAAATGGTTGATAAAATTAAACATATATTTGCATGTTAGTATTAATAAAAAATGCAGTAAAATGTACTTTCTACTCTTGGTAAAGATGAAGACAATATTAGTTAATTTCTGACAGTCTTGGAGGCAACTAATTTAAATCATTTTCACTCTTTATCTGGCTTGGTTATGGAACACAAATAGTAATAGCCTTGGTCACCATGATGAATAATCTATGCTGGAAATGTTAAAGATACAATCCTAAAATGCCTTTGATGGTCTAAGTTAATTTACATGTGGGGTTTTTTACAATACTATTTTCAAACAGTTTAAAGCATAATTACTATTCCCATTTGAAAATATAAATTATCATGATTTGGTCAAGGCTTCAAATTATTTAAAAATTTCCTTTTAATTTTATATACTAAAAATTTAAAATGAAAAGAAAATTTACCAAACTGTAGTAGTAAGTCGTTTTCTATTACAGGCTTCAAATAGTTATCTTCATTCCAAGGAAATGGAGGTCTAAGAGAATTAACATATTCTGCATCTGGCTTCTGAAATAGTAAATGAACATGGAAGTGACAGTCTATCATAAGAATGAATCATACACAGAAATAACAAACTGGAATTTTTAAAGTTGGACATATGATCTACTTGTAGCATACTGGTGATTCTACAAACGATACATTCTTCCTCTAATTTGTAGTTGAAGATAGTCTTTATCAATTTCTTATTTTTCTTGTATGCATAATGCTCCTAATTTCCCATCAAAGAAAAATCTTTTTTGCAATGCTAACTTGAACTTTTACCCTTTTCATCTACTGTAAAAACGGATTAATCTGATATTTTATTTTTTACATTTTATGTAATATAATATACCATATTTTAATTGTGATGCTTCTGACACAAATAAACAAACATCTAAGAAAGAATATACATGCACATATATACAATATATTATTTCCAAATCCATTGCTTGTCATTAACAACAAGTTGTTGTTAACAATAACTCTAAAATTAGATCTAGAAACAATAAACATTATTGAACATTGTGGTCTTCATTTTGGTAAGAAATGTCCATAGTTAGAATATTAAAAGTTATCTTACACATTTCCAGATTGCTTTGAATATTATGAACACTTATCATATTTATAAGCTGACTCAATTAACTACTTAAGTTCTTAAGTAAAGTAATATTCTGGACATCAAGATAATCCACCATAAATAAATTTTAAAAATGGATGTTACATTCATATTTGGTTTAGTTTTTGCACTCTCACAATTTCTTCAAGTNCTATCTATCTATCTATCTATCTATCTATCTATCTATCTATCTATATGTCACAACCCCTGGTATGCCCAAATATGGGAGGAAGTTCACCGCTTCCATTCTAATCCCAGTAAGGGTATGGCTAGCTGATGAGAGCTAAATAGCTTGAAATAGATCTATACTAGTATCCCTTTATTTATTTATATGTCAGTAAACAGAAAGCCTTGCGATTTTATTGAACAATCCTGGTTTTCTGGTTGCTTGGATACAGTTCAGACTGGTGTAATGCAGAAGTTTCTGAAATGAATGCAGGTTGCCAAAACTTAAATGTAACCAAATTTAGGAATTGTTCTAGCTTCACCCACTTGGATCCAGCTCCCAGCATTTCACTCAAGGCTTAGTACAGCTTTTGGCATGAGAAAAGTTGTACACCTAATATAATGAATAGCTATTGCCATATGCAAAACATAATGAAATGAAGTAGCTCTTTACAAAAGTGGGGAAAGCTGTATTTTAAGCTTTTTTAAAATTCATTTGAATTAATGTAAGCAAATGATACTAAAAAAGAAACACTCTGGAAAAAGAATTTTCTTTGCACATGCATTATTTCCAGTTTTTAAAAGAAAAATAGGGGCTGTTTGAAGTATTATATATAGTAGTTGTGTGTAAAATCTCTTATTCTTCATATTGGCTTCTTAAAAATTAGCCAACCAATCATAAAGCTCTAGACCGACGCTGTCTGTCTAAGTTAATCCAAGGCCAGCAAAAGGATAATTTGATTAAACTGAGACCCTAATTTATTTAGCTTTAGTTCTGGATCAAGCTTTTCTTAATAGAGTGCTGTCGTCTTCAATTGTTTGAGGCAAATTAAAGTGACATAAATACCATGGGACTTTTTCAATCAGATTAGTCAGCTAACTTGCATCAATACTACCTCAGCCATAGATGCTGGCGTCCTTCTTTTCATTAGCCTTACTAACAACTGACAAGCTCTCCTGGAAGAATGGGCACCCACGCTGCCACGCCGACCCCCACGCTTAACCCATCATCCTTCCTCAATGGGCCCTATTTGACAAGGTGCCCACACCTTTTTCCATTGCTATTCTCTAGACAAAGCTAAATATTGTTTATTGGCTTCCAATAGCCTGTTAATCCCAAACAATTTCACAAATCCATGGAGCACTCAAACTGATTATAAACATTTGTTCTTTTAAGATGCTAAATCTCTCCTGGTTTATTTCCTCTGTTCTTTTTCCTCACTCTACAGTATCACAGCTTTCAAATATGAAAGTAGATTTGTTCTTTAAAGTGACCTTCCAGACAGCAACAACAACAAAAGCAAATTCTTGAAGATTGTGGCCAAGTTGATATCTTCAAGGACTTAATTGTAGTTACTATGTTGAAAGGAACAAGCAGACATATACCAGCTTTTCATATATCACAACAAGCTATTGCTTATAACTCTTTCTATAATATGTGAACAATTAGAAAAAACTATAGCACATTAATTTTTGATGGTGCTTGAAGTTCCCAATAAGGTTTCTTTTATTGAAAATTAATAACAAGCTTATGTACTGTTTACTGGCTATACTATAGATATAAAATACTTAATGGATAAACAATGAATCTAAAAATCAAGAAAATGCATTGACAAAAAACTTATTAAGGAGGCAAAAGTACACTGAACTTTTTATCGTAAGATGAAATATATATTCCAATTCAGAAGAATTGGTCTCATGAATGGTTGGGGATGGCAGATTTCATGCAAAACATTTTGAAACTGGATTGGGACAGTCTTTTGCAGCAGTTATGTGAACACAATATTGAACTAGATAGATTATGAGCTCAACTTTCAAAAGGCAGTTTTAGGTATCATTTTCTTAAAGTTAATTTTCAGAAAGCCAAAGCTAAGGCAAAAGTGGGCAAAGGACTGAACCCAGGTATATACAGTTGTGTTCTTTAAGAATAGTGACTGTAATTTTGGCACAATTAAAGCCTACAACCTCTGAGAATCATGTGCTATTTTGCTAAGAAGTTCTGGCAGAGACATAACTTAGTCATTTGCAACTTCTTTGCATACATTTGCCTGAAATTTAAATAGCACAACTATAATGCCACGGACTACCCTAGTCCATGTGCTGTAGGACAGAGGAATTAACACAAGGCTTCTCAAAAATTTTCTTTTTATTACACAAAATGCTATTAGAAAGTCCTTTTTGCCCAACATAGGTAAAAACACTGCGTCAATTTAAAAGTCCCTGTTGTGATTTGGTAATGAAGCACAAACCCATTACTGAAAGTAACATCACTTTAATCCAATTTTAAGTAATTTACTCATGTTTGGGAAGCACTGCTCTAACCTTTTCCTATCTTAAGCCCCATAAATCACTCAATGAAACCCTGAAGGTAGAAAAAAATAACTTTTATATGATCACAGGCAATTTTGTAGAATTATTTACAGTAAAATTTTAAAACTTAAAAGTTCAGTGACTTATCCTGTGTGTCCCTTCCCCCACCCCCCCACCCCCATACTTTGGAGTTCTGCTTGGATATGCAGGCTACTGACTGTGACTCATTCCCATAAAAGGCACAGTATTACATTGACCAAATCTGTAGATAACAAGTGCAACTAGCTTAAGGAAAAGATTCCCTTGAGTCAAGCTTGACTCTTGGTGACTTGTGGGGCGGGGAAGAATGCAGTACTGTGGATTTGTCATTGCCTTATTCTGGTATATTTTCTTGACTTCAAAGGCTAACATATAGCTTGGAAGAAAGTAGGATTTACACAATTTACATTTTTCAAGATCAACCATGTTGGCTAAGGGTTGCCCATCAGTCTCACAGAAAATCCTATAACAGAAAACTTACATTGTACATGAAGTGGAGAGAATCCTGCTGAATTGAAGCCAGCAGATAAATGGGAGAGGAGAAAGGTAGATGCACTTGAGGTGGGTTTTTTTAAATAAAATGTCTGTGTTTGTTTATTTCAGGCTTGTTTTATACTGAAATGACAAATTTGTGGATTTACAACACAATACAGTGAGCTACTAACTGTCCAATTTTGCTGAATATGTCCACAATGTGCCAAAATGTGGTACTCAAGTCTTTTTAATGCCAGCTTGAGGACTCGGGATATATATGGCCTTTAAATCTCTCTTTTGAACTATAATTAGCAAAAATCATATTTTCTTCCTGTTTCAGGGTACGAAACAACATAATCTCAAATATAAGCCTTGAATGGCTTAATATAGTGAAACATGAAGTATCTCATTCAAAATAAAAATGAAGAATTCTAGTCTTGCTTTTGTGCATAACATGGCTATGTCTATTTTCCTCCTCAAAGTATGCTGTTCTGACTAGGAAAGATGATCTGTCTCTGCATTAAACTATCAAATATCTTTCTTTTTAAAAAAAAAACTATCTTGGAAAGTTGAAAATTCACAAATAGTGATAATGCAAGAGAGTGTCTAGGTTTGAGTGTAAAACTGTACTAATTAGATTTTGGGGGAAGCATTCACCTTTTCATGAGGGATAATATAATGAAATGGACAGGAAGCCTGCCTGAAAAGGACAATCTGCATGTTTGGACATGTAATGACAGTTGATAGTTTAGAGATGTGCTTATATGCAAACTAGACCAAAATTGTCATAGGGATGTTAATAGAACTAAAGACTGTGGCCTGGTATAGAAATTGGTGATTCCTTGTCTAGATCAGCGTCCGACAAACTTTTTTTGTGAAGGGCCAAATCCCACTTCTCCACCTCCACTTCCACTGGCAAGTCTGCATCCCAAAGAATGCGGCAGTCATTGGACAGTGTGACTCAGCAGCACAAAGGCCATTGATTGGCTGCTGCTAATCAAAATGCCACACTCCTGGCCCCTCAGGACAGTATTTGATGTGGCTCCTGGGCTGCTGGTTGCTTTAAAAAGTCATATTGATCACTTAGATCAATATGACTTAGATCAGTTAGATCTGCCTGTCACATAGCTTAATTTCTTTGCAGTGCTAAACAGTAATCCTGGGCACCATGAACATGTAAATAACATACAACGGTTTTATAAATCCAAGTACCGCCGAAACATAAAGCAATTTCATTTGCCTGATAGTCTGAACTGCTGATTGGCTCTTTTATTTAAAAAAAAAAGTATTTGACTTAAATTTTAGCACTTTGAATCTACGTCCCATAGTTTTAGATTCGTCCATTGAGTTCTATTTTTAAAAAAAATTAGATTTAAACAATCAGTAAATATATGTTATAAAAGTAATATCCAAACACTTGTGT